CGTTTAAAGTCACTTCAGAGAACTGAGATATAAACCTGGTTCTGTTCCTCCAGAACCTCAGACGGTTCTATGAACCAGTTTTCTGTTTCTGGTTCCTCTTCCTCTGTCTGTTTATTTTAATTTCATAAAATAATTTTATGATCTAAACCTCCTGAACCAGAACTAAAATCCACAGAGAATAAATAATCTGCCTCTAATCCAGCTGTGACCCTCTGTGACCTCAGGGTCATCCAGACACTGCAGCTCCAGGACCAACAGCGCCCCCTGGTGGCAGCGGCTCAGGTTTCATCCAGAGGCTGCTGCTTCATCATCATCATCATCATCATCATTGAGAACCTAAACTAATATCCTGTACTGATGAAATGTTAATAGAAAAAAGTTAAATATTAAAGTATAAGGAGTTAATAAACAGCTACGAACCCAGACTGAATAAAATCATCTTTAGTTTAGTTATTGATCTGAATCCAGTCTGACATGTTTATAGTTTCAATCAGTCTGATTGGTTCATCCTGTAGCAGCAGCTGCTCTGCCCCCTGCTGGTCATCTGGCTGAACTTCATCTGGACTCAGAAACAGTTTGATTCTCTGAGCTCCTCATTTATTCATCAACATTATTTTAATTATAAATTAGTTAATAAATTACCTGCCTTTTAGCTTCTCTGTGCACAGAAAGAGTTTCAGCTGTTTCCATGGTAACGACCTCACCAACCCAGGCCAGGCAGGAGATTGATGATTTCACTGATGATGTCATCACTGAGCATGACCTTTGAACTGACTTTGTCTCAATGGATAAATTATAAATGAAGCTTTTTAAAGAGTTTGTCTTTATGCTTCTGGATTTCTGTTAGTTTTCTTGGATGTGACTTTGATGTTAAACTGCCTGTTAAACTTTCCTTCTTTCAGCAGCAAGTTTTATTATATTATAGATGAATCTATACACATAACTACAGCCCACACAACACTGCCTGAGGAACTGCTGTCACATAAAAATTAATAATAAATCAATCTTTGCACATAACTGTCTAGAACAAGGTGTTTGGTCTGTAATGCATTTATTAAATAATGGAGGTTTTGTGTCTTTTGAAGATGTTGGTGTTAAATATAACCTGCAAATAAATAAAAGTGAATTTCTAAGAATGATTAGAGCTATTGCCCCAAATATTTTACGTACAGCTAAATGTTTTTCTGAGATCCCAGATTACAGAACCCTGATCTACCTGGACTTAATGGGCCCAGTGTCACAGGTAATAAACTAAACTCAAAAATTAGGGAATATTTTATTAGTACTATTTTTCCTTTTGTATCAAATCCAAATTTTATATCACATTTCTTCTCAAAGGTTCAAAGGGAAAAAAATTAGAACAAATTATTTAAATCTTCCCGTTAAAAGCTAAGGATCCACTTCAAAACCTTTTCATGTGTTTTTCCTTAGACTTCGATTTGCTATTGATGATGAAACTTGTTTACTTTGTGACGTGATATTGAATCGACTGAACATCTTTTCCATGAATGTGTGTAAAGCTTTCTGGGATGATGTGCACCACTGGCTTCCCCTAAAACTCCAAACTGAATTTTGTAATAAAAACTTTATTTTTGGAACTATGAGAAAAGAAAATAAATTTGAAAGGCTACTAAATGTAATAATTATTATGGGCAAGTTTTTCATTCACAAATGTCGTTTTACCAGAAAGTCTACACTTTCTTCTTTTCAGGAAGTCTTCATTTGTGGTGTCCTGCTATCATCCAGCTCCCATCCTCTCATATCAGGAATGAAAAATTAAATACACACAACATGTTGGAAACCTGTGTTTGGTGACTGACTTTTATTTGTCAGGCTTAAGTGACAAAAGTAGGAAAAAGACCGTTTGTCTTGGCGTTTAAAATAACAACACAAAACAGCGTAAGAAGACCTCCAGACAAGATCTCGTTTGTTTATTTGTTTTATAATTATATTATTGCTTATTTTTAAGCAACAGCTGCCGATTAAACTGAAAGTTACAACCTTGACATGATTATATGAGTTGTTTTTACCGAGGAATCGATCAGAAGCGCCGTGAAAATGGTCAGATCCGCCTCTCTGGCTGCAATGCGCGCTCCCGACGCAGGGGGGCAGATTTTCACCCCCTGCTTCCCCCCTCCATCCTGTCTGGGAAGTCGGGATTTCCCAGTTTTCCATTACCACTGTAACGCATCATAAGTTCCGCCTTCACTTCCACCCTTTTCGCCTCTGCAGGGCTCAGCCTCAGTCCGCGGTGAGTTTTCACTATCTGAGTTTATTTCATTTATTCTAGTTCCACCGCTTTTCTAACTGTCTGTCGTGTTTTAAGTTAAACTTCAGTGTTTTGATGTTTCGACAAAAATATTTTCCACTTAGAAAATTCACATGAATCCGAGCTTCTACCGGAGAGACCGAACCAACAGGACATGGATTCTTCTCTGACTGGGTCTCTGCTGCTGCTGTCTGTGGTCTTCATGCAGTTTGTCTCTGCTGCAGGTGAGATTCAGCTGTTAAGTTAAACTTTACTTAACAATAGTGTTACTTATTTCCCTGACATGACTGTGTAGGACCAAAACTGACATAATCAAAATGTATATTTTTGTTTTTCCCTTTTCTTTAAACACGTGTTTGCGTCAGAAATACAAGTTCTGTCTGAGCCTCCACATGAAAATGAGTCGTCAGGAGTTCTAACATTATTTTCTAATAAAGTTGAGCTGGAGCTTAGCCTGAGTACAGTGTGAAGTTCAACCAATCAGCCTGATGACACTGCCCCTCGTTTGCGTTCATCTTTTCTTGATGACGATCCTGCAATGCACAAGGAAAAGTAAAGGAGACACGGAGTGACAAGAGCAAAAGGAAAAGATCAAATGTACAAATTTCTCGATTAAAACACATATTTAA